CTTAACACATTTTCCACACACAAACCACGCCCTCATTGGTCCATTGGATTGGCTCTTCTTGGTCGAGGCCTGTACCAGTGTGTTGTGCACAATATTAACGTGAGCAATAACAGTGGAATCGGAGGTTTGCCTTCAAAATAAAAGGCCCCATTGAAACTGATGCAAAAGGAAAACATTTTTTGAAAACATGCCACAATTGGACTAGATAATGCTAAATAAGGTTGGAATGTTGTTATATAAATTAAACAAAATACAATTATTAGATAATTTGACAAATCAGTAGAAATCAAACTGTGGATGTATTTGAATACTTATTTGCACTACAGCCTAACCTATGGATTGTGCACCCATGAAATCTGTATGTAGAGTTTTGGCAAATATTAGAGTTTTAGCTCTTATTGCAGGACTTTGACAGTGGGAATTTATCATCTCACTATTCAGCCTATTGTGCGTATTGACATTCATATTGCACTGTACAGCCTGACCTATGGATTGTGCACCCATGAAATGGGGGTATCAGCCTACTCAGTGACACTCCCAGAACTCAACTGTGATGAGTTTACACAAATATTAGCATTGTAGGACTCTGAAACCACTGTGAAATTAGCAGCATTAAGCTCACCAGTCATCCTAGGTGTATTGAACATTCATGTTGCAATCTACAGCCTGACCTAAGGATTGTGCACCCATGGAATGGGGTATCAGCCTACTCAGTGACACACAGAACACAACTATGTAGAGTTTACACAAATATTAGTGTCTTAGCTCTTATTGCAGGACTTTCATGTATGCATAATCCATAACTCAGGCTGTACAGTGCAATGTGAATGTCCAATACACCCAATAGACTGACTGGGATGGTGATTTCCAACAGTCAAAGTCCTATAATAAGAGCTAAGATGCTAATATATGTGTAAACTCTAAACAGTTGTGTTCTGTGGGTGTCACTGAGTAGGCTCCCATTTCATGGGTGCACAATCCATAGGTTAGGCTGTACAGTGGATGTAAGTAAACCCACAATGCAATTCTGAATTCAAATACATCCACAGTGCGATTTGAACTGATTGTTTATCATTATCAAGTGCAATTGTGGCATGTTTTCACTATTTTTAACCGTTTGCATCAGTTTCAATGGGGGACTTTTATTTTAAAGGCTCAACCGCCGATTCAACTATTGTTGCTGACGCTAATGTTGTTCACAACACACTGGTCGGCTGAAGGTGAAATCATAGGTAGAACTGTGCGAAAGAGTCCTCCGTTGCAGTTTAACAATTTTGCAAGCGTTTGGTAAGTGGGTGCAGCGTTGCCAACTTAGCGACTTTGTCGCTATATTTAGCGAGTTTTCAGACCCCTCTAGCGACACATTTTCAAAAAAGTGACTAGCGATAAATCTAGCGACCTTTTCTGGTGTTATTGGAGACGTGAAAGAACGTATCGTTCTTACTCTTCTCAACGAGCAGCGGGTGCTGCCGTGTGTGGTCCCCGTCCCCGTCCCCAAGCACTCACAGGCGGCCCAGTCCTCGCGCAGCAGTCCCTCCCAGCTGCAGTCAGAGCAGGGGATGTTCACCCCTCCATGTCCAGACTGCAAATGAATCGCGCATGCGGGAAGGAGCCGCTGGCTGATCCCGCCCTGTAAATGTAGGGTGTTTTTTACTCACTTTTTGTCTCTCCCACAACGTTATTCCTCTCCTACAGCGTCCATCACAATTACATGCACATGGCCAATTATGCCAATTATGTGATGACGTATTTGCTGCTAATTTGACGCATTGAACTGAGTGAATGAAAATGAGATTGTAGTAAACTACAGGGTTTTGCCAAACTTTGATGGGTCATTACAGGAAGTGGTCATCGTCAGTGCTGTCAACACCCCAATGGGGTCCTTCAGAGGGACAGCAACCAAATTGGTATGGGACTGATTATGATTATGAAGAATAAAGACTTTATATAGACAAAATATTAAAGTGATCATTAGCTACATTCACAGTAAAATGAGGGACAATTACATGAATGTGACGATATTGTAGTTAGTAATACAAGGCTAGAAACAATGTCTAAATTGAAGTGCAGGGTTATGATGTATATTGTGTGACTGTGGCCAGGTATCCCAGTTGAGGAGGTGAAGGAAGTCTACATGGGAAATTTACTGCAGGCTGGGCCCGTACCAGACAAGCCCAACTTGGAGCAGGTATGTTCAGACGCACACTCACTCACTGTGTATTATCTATGTATGGCCATAATTATGCCGTTATCAATGATAGGTGTGCTCATACACTTTGCTTTTCCCCCAGGACTGTCCCTCTCCACTCCCGCAACAACCATCAACAAAGTGTGTGCCTCTGGGATGAGATCTATCATGCTGGCTGCCCAGAGTCTGATGTGTGGACACCAGGTACAGTGACAAAGCAGCTCACTGTATTACCACTACAGAACATGACACCAGGCTTAGCTGCTATTACCCCTGGTCTGTTCATGTGCAGTATCACTGTGTTCAAAATCAAATCAAAGGTTATTTGTCGCATACACAGATTAGCAAATGTTCAAACAGGTGCAGCAAAATGCTTGTGTTTCTAGCTCCTGCAGTGCAGTAAATGTCTAACAGTGCAATACTAACACACTCTGTTTGCCAAAACATGGAAGCATACTGGACTTTATGAGGTAAATAAGATTACGACCCAGGTGGCGTTTTGCTCACAGATAACAGATGTCCAATGTTGTTATTCTTTATTTAATATAACACAGTATTTTTTCCATGGAAAGTGTTGCTTCTTGTAACCGTGGAAAAAACTCCCCCCCCCAAAAAAAATCATATTTTACCTGAGTAATGAATCCAGTTGTATTCAGTAGTTATTGTTTCTCCCACTGGCTGTGACTGTGTGTCAGGATGTGATGGTGGCGGGCGGTATGGAGAGCATGTCTAACGTTACCCTACGTGATGACCAGGGACACGCCGTCCTATGGAGGCGTGAGGATGGAGGACCTCTTAGTGAAGGATGGCCTCACTGACGTCTACAACAAATTCCACATGGTATATTAAATATTTGGTCCTTATGACGGCCGACGCAGCAAAGAGACTCAATGTCACCCCATTGGCCAGGATCGTCTGTAAAACTCCTACCTCTAACACGCGACCCATACGCGACCCATACTGTATATATAGCCTCCCTACTGTTATTTTATTTTACTTCTGCTCTTTTTTTTCTCAACACTTTTTTTGTTATTGTTTTATTTTTTCGTTAAAAATAAATGAACTGTTGGTTAAGGGCTGTAAGTAAGCATTTCACTTTAAAGTCTGCACCTGTTGTATTCGGCGCATGTGACCAATAAAATTTGATTTGATTTGATTTGAGTTATGCACTTTTTATTTATTTTTAACCTTTATTTAACTAGGCAAGTCAGTTAAGAACAAATTCTTATTTACAATGACGGCCTACCCCGGCCAAACCCTCCCCTAACCCGGACGACGCTGGGCCAATTGTGCACCGCCCTATGGGATCCCGATCATGGCCGGTTGTGATACAGCCCAGGATCAAGCCTGTGTCTGTAGTGACGCCTCTAGCACTGTGATGCAGTTTCTTAGACCGCTGCGCCACTCAGGTTCAGCCATACTGTGGCTCACAGTGTTGAGTTTGTAGGATAACAGTGCAGGAGGATTCCCAGGAACATCCTGAATTTTCACCTTAATAACGTTGACAAGTGATAAGTTGTATTAAGAGTCTGTTTGATGTAGGTTGTTGACTTGTAGGACAGTTTTGATATATACTGAACAAAAATATAAACGCACCATGCAACAATTTTACTGAGTTACAGTTCATAAGGAAATCAGTCAATTTAAATAAATTCATTAGGCCCTAATCTATTGATTTCACATGACTGGGCAGGAGTGCAGCCATGGGTGGGCCTGGGAGCTAGGCCCACCCATTGGGGAGCCAGACCCAGCCAATCAGAATGAGTTCTTCCCCACAAAAGGGCTTTATTACAGACACAAATACTCCTTAGTTTCATCAGCTGTCCGGTTGGCTGGTCTCAGACGATCCTGCAGGTGAAGAAGCCGGATTTGGAGGTCCTGGGCTGGCGTGGTTACATGTGGTCTGCAGTTGTGAGGCCGGTTGGACATACTGCCAAATTCTCTAAAACGACGTTGGAGGTGGCTTATGGTAGAGAAATTAACATTCAATTCTCTGGCAACAGCTCTGGTGGACATTCCTGCAGTCAGCATGCCAATTGCACGCTCCCTCAAAACTTCAGACATCTGTGGCATTGTGCTGTGACACAAAACTGCACATTTTAGAGTGGCCTTTTATTGTCCCCAGCACAAGGTGCACATGTGTAATGATCATGCTGTTTAATCAGCTTCTTGATATGCCACACCTGTCAGGTGGATGGATTGTCTTGGCAAAGGAGAAATGCTCACTAACAGGAATGTAAACAAATTTGTGGACAAAATTTGAGAGAAATAAGCTTTTTGTGTGTATGGGCAAATTTCTGGGACCAACAATTTACATGTTGCATTTATATTTTTGTTCAGTATAGTTTTAAGTGTTATACATGTAATATTTCTACCTGCAACTAGCCCCATACGTCAATTACATACTAGTAGAAACAAAATAATAGAAATCTACAAGAGTAAAACATACTTTTTAGAATGCCGCGTGGCGCTGCTAATGATCTTTTTCCAGGATTAACCGGTCCGGCTGTTGTTGTGTGTACAACTTCCTGTATTACGATTGAGTCTCGTTCACGAGGTTGACAATAATAACAAAAGCAATATAAATGCAAAACTTCTTCACGTCCTTGCAACAGATGTTTTTTATTATTATGATAAGGTAAGAAGCATTGCTAAGCCATTTGAGGTGTTTCTAAGCAGAGTCATTCAGAGAACCATGAAGAAATAAAAAATATGGCTAAAATAGAATGTTGCATTTCAGAATATTTTTTTTTGTTGTCAATTATATGTGTCGCTTGTTGACTTTCAGGACATATTTTTGTTTCTTCTAGCTTTTGCTGATGCAGCTACATCCCCCATTGATTTTCCCATTGCTCCTGCCTTTGCCATACCAAAGGTGAGTCTGAGTGTTAACAGAATGACTGCTGTAGTGGTTTTTTTCAAGTAGCTTGTGGTTATCATCACTGCACATAGATAATACAGGTTATCAGAGATGGGGACAACAACATGACTCGCCTTGCAAAAAAAGCATCTGTCTTTGTTCAATTTAATTGAATGACAGCACATACTTGCTGTAAATGAGAATACATTCTCAGTCAACTTACCTGGTAAAATAAGAGTTGAATCCAATTATTTGGGAAATTATTATTGTTCTCAGGTTATGGTGGCTGCGGGGCTGAAGAAGGAGGACATTGCCAGGTGGGAGATCAACGAAGCCTTCAGTGTTGTGGTTCTGGCCAACGTGAAGATGCTGGACATCGACCCCAGCAAAGTCAATGTCAATGGAGAAGCTGTCTCCCTGGGACACCCCATTGGGTTAGCAGCATGGACAGAGAGAGATATAGGTGAAATGCACATCCTACATTTCTCAACTGGTGCTAGACCAAAAAAGCCTGATGATAAAGAAAGAAATGCCTGATGATAAGGAAAGAAAAGCCAGATGTTTGTGATACTTACTTTCTGTCATTCTCTCTCAGGATGTCAGGGGTGAGAATCGTGGGACACATGGTACATGCTCTGAAGTCTGGCCAGTACGGCCTGGCTGGGATCTGCAATGGTGGTGGTGGAGCCTCCTCTATCATCATCCAGAAGTTATAGGAATCTTTATATTTTCTCTTTCCCTTAAATGGGTTATCAGACAAGCATATAAACTGCCTGAACGGAGCTGTTAAACCACTGTTGTATGTACTGTACATGGTTTAGATGACCATACTGTATCACTCTAGAATGTGTCTGAAATGAATGACCTCCATGCGGGCAGCCTTACTGGTCAACTAACGTACTGTACACGTTAACTGATATGACTCCCATGTTTAAGTCACTCCCGATGAACGTTTGTTGCAAAGGCAATTTTATATTTAACTTTTCAACTGTAAAGGTGAATAAATAGTTTATTATGAAAATAATAGCATTATATCCTTGCTTTCTTGTCTTCACTTTCAGGGGCGGACTTAGTGGCCCCCGCCTCCTCAGTCCTCAGATTTAGATGCAGCTCATTCTAAAAAAACAGATACTATAACTCTAGCTTAAACAGACAGACTTTGATGGGGATTTTTTAAAATGATTTATTATGCCTCGAGCGGAGCATGGGGGGGCTTCAATGATGATGTGAGGCCTAAGGCAATTGCCTCTTCTGCCTAATGGTAAGTCCGCCGGTGTTCACTGTTATACATAAGTCCTATCCTTACTGTTATACTGTTACCCCAAGTCACCCCAAGTGAGCCCGACTGCCCAAATGTGGGTGTGTGGCTCATGGACTATTACTGTGTAGCCACTAAACAATGACCATTTCGAGGGGGGTTTGGAAAGAGCTTTTCATGATTAGATGAGCAGTATAAAAACAGCTGTTAAGTCAAGTAAGTGGTAACATTTTCATTCTTTTTACTTTTCAATAGGACAGTGTAGTGTGAATTATTTTAGAATGTAAAATGTTTGTCCTGCTGTTGTTGGTATGTTTGTCCTGCTGTTGTTGGGTTTGTCCACAAAGGGATGTAGTGGTCTGTCTGCCTCTTTAATAGTCAGAGGGCTTAGCCACAGAGTTTTTAAATGCGTAATGTAATTAATTGTCTTTGGCTTAGCCTTCTGAACACTAAGGCAGTGGTTGGTGAGGTTATAGGCCTTGGATGTGCAATTCAATGTATGTTTCTATTGTCAGTATTATACTGTTTATTGTGGTAAAGATGATTTTATCTCAGACATCCGTCAACACCAATAGGATGTATGGATGATGACAACAGTGGCGGTCAGTGCCGTTTATCATGAGGGAGGACTTTTTTTTTTCATGAGCATGGCCTTCTATTACAGCATATTGGATGACTGTCATTCATATTCCATTCACACAGTTCAATGTAACATCGATAGGTTTAGGCTACTACATGATACTCAAATTTTCCCTATACCCATCATGAGGTTGCTACAACCTAGCCTATAACTTAAAGTTTACAACGTAGGTGCACACAGGTCGAGATAAAATGTTTAGGTGACAGACAGTGACACATGGACAGACAGTGACACATTCAATACCGCCTTGCACACTCTTGCTTGCATCTAGCTGATCTAGGGTGTAATCATTTGTCCAACAGACGCAAACGAGAGTTTCTCTATTGGACAAATTCAGGTATGTTTATCCCCATTTCGTTCCGTTTGCTTCTGTTTGAGAAAGGTTTTTCAACAGAATCGGCAGAATGAATACACCCAATTACGCGTTAACACAGTTCACTTTCATAGCAGCCACGTTGTATTCCTTCTCGCATCTATGCGCTCTCTCACCTTTTCCTTTCATTTGTGGACTTCAAAGCACAACACATCAGCTGTATGTGACCAGGCGAAAAAAACTTTCCAAGCCTAACCATATCATAACCGCTACATACAGCATACATCGTTGTCACCATATTAGCTAAAGTAACGTCATAGTCAACACAGCTAATACAACTAATGTGTTTGTAAACCTGCTACAATCATGCAGTAGCCTTACAGTGTATAGTCAGTAAGCAGTTTAGCAGTTACACCGGTGGGCCCCGGTGGCAATTTATCTAAAAAGGATAACTCTTTTAATGTTTTAACATTTTAATTTGTATGAAATTCACTGAGGAGGATGGTCCTCCCCTTCCTCCTCTGAGGAGCTTCCACTGGATGACAGCTACTGTAACATTTGACCACCACTTCCCTCCAAATAATCTAAAGAAAATCTGTCTGTTGTTATCAAGATCGCCTCGAAAGCCCAAGCTTCTCACTTTCCAATAATTGAGTCAATGAGACAAGTTTTGGAAGGATGGAAGCGAGATAAGTAGCCCAGTGTTTCTTTTTTAGGTTTCAGTTTCATACGTGGCCATCATGTCATAGGGAACATAGGAACTGACTTGCTGTCCCCTCTCATCCATGGTTTCATTAAATAAAACAACCACTTGATTTAACTGAAAGAAGAAAGCAAAAGTTCAGCCCACCAATGCCAAAAAACAGTCAAGTTGTTCTGTCCCATTAGGCCTATATATTGTTTTCCCTTCTTTCCAGGCAGAGAACTTAGTCATATGGCATGTTAAATATTGACTGAGTACTTAGTGTATCAAAGTCCTGAGGCCATAGAGTTTCAGTGTGTAGACATTTCAAGGGCCTGTTGTGTGTCGCTATCCTCTCAAGAACCTGGTCATACCGCCTTGCCTGGTTATTGATTAACAGCCAAGAAGAAAGACTTAACATGGCCAGAGAACCAGGGGCCATTGTATACACAGTAAGAACAACTATTTTGCCATCTTTTCACGTCATTCTATTGATTGCATTTAGGTAATTACGGTCCCATGTGGCTCAGTTGCTAAGCCAGGATTGTGAATTCAATTCCCATTGGGACCAGTATGAAAAAAGTGTAAAAAATGTAAGCACTTACTACAGTAAGTCGCTCTGGATAAGAACGTCTGCTAAATGACAAAAATGTAATCAAAGAAGGAGAGGTTTTTAGGTATATAATAATTGTATACTTTTTTTTATTTTATTTTTTACACAGTTAAAGTGTAAACAATGCTTGAAATATATTGCACATGATTTTATACATTCAAACAGCCTTTTGTCAATAGCATACTCCTCGCTTCCACTCTCCTCATCTCCTTCTCAAAACCCATTGTAGGAGAAGGTCAGAGGGGAGGGACCTCTGGCTTTCTCATCCAATTGGTTTTGAGGAGATGAGGAGAGAGGACGCGAGGAGTGTGCAATTGAGAAAAGGCCCATGTATAGTCATAGGGGTGACAGGTGACCGTCTACTTCCGGTCCAAGACAACAGTGTGTTAGTGCTATTGTTTTCTTTGGTCAGAAGCTTAGAGGTCTCTTGTCATTTTCTTTGGTCACTATGGAGTCTGTCCAATAAATGAGATGAATTTAACATACAATGTAATGAACTTACTTGTAGAGTTTGTAATATACCAAACATGTATGCCTGTAATTGTTTCGATTTTGGATAATCACACTTAAAAGTATATATGGTAATGTAAATGAATTGGAGCAGGTGTGAGGGTGGAAGATTCTGGCAATTCAACCTACAAAATCTACAAAAGCACACAGATATACTCTAGGCTACTGCCCAGTTCAATATTTTTGTATGCATTATCGTCACAATGTTTTTTGATTTTTAAAGGTTGGTCATTGTCTCTTTAAGTGTGCAGGTTTCACAGCTGTTTTGGTTGGTTGTCTAGTTATTATTCCCTCATGACCTGGCAGAGATGACAACTAGATTGTTAGGGGAGATTGCCATGCAATAAGAGTCCGAACAGCCTATAAAGAGAGGAACAACATGGTTATAAAATGTTTCTGTTTTCATAGATACTCACTTCTCAGAGTTAGCCACAATACCGTATACTGTGTGTTTCAATCTCACAGAAGTGATCATATAATAAAACCTACTCCTAAAAGCAGATGTGCATAAGTCATGTTTTCCATGGCTCACGTTTAGTGATGTCACAAATCCTTTGTAAAGATATGTTTTTTTAAAGGAAGGTAAAGTGCTATGCATTGTGTAGATTACAGTAGGTGTACTGTACGAATGGTCAGAAATACAGTAACACATCACTAAATAGTGACTCATAGGCTAATCATTACATGTAAAGGATTTATTTGTTTTGTTTTACATCTCAGTATTTGAACTTCTATTCTCAGGATTTTTTTTGTCAACATGTATTTATTTCCTGGGATTTCATATAGCTCTCCTTAAAGTAGCTGAGACTTATCGAAAAGTAAGAGTAGGCTAGGCCTACAGATGATGGCAGTCTAGGTCTGGACCAGGAAATCACAATGTTATTTGCCCATGTTAGTGTTACAGCTTAAAAACGTGGACCGCCCTACAGGTCAGGCTGTTCACACAAGCTAAGGTGTGGTCATGGCTGTTTATTACCAAGAGTAAAAGGAGAATGGACTGAGTTAGAGGGAGAGAGAATAAGAAGAAAAGACGCCAAATCAGTGTTCAAAAGCAACATTTGAACTAATCCAAGGTAAGTCTGGAAAACACTACCTGAAATTGATCTACTGTACATTTGTATAACTTTGTTGTTGTATTAACTTAATAAATAAATGTTATACTGTGGCTAAAATCAGAAGTTTCTTCAACCTTTTTCAGATTTGATAATATCTTATCGGAACATTGAAAGTGGTGTCAACATGAACAATAACCAGGTAACTTCAGTTATATACAGTTGAAGTCAGAAGTTTACATACACTTAGGTTGGAGTCATTAAAACTCGTTTTTCAACCACTCCACAAATGTCTTGTTAACAAACTATAGTTTTGCAAGTCGGTTAGGACATCTACTTTGTGCATGACACAAGTCATTTTTCAAACAATTGTTTACAGACAGATTATTTCACTTATAATTCACTGTATCACAATTCCAGTGGGTCAGAATTTCACTAAGTTGACTGTGCCTTTAAACAGCTTGGTAAATTCCAGAAAATGATGTCATGGCTTTAGAAGCTTCTGATAGGCTAATTGACATAATTTGACTCAATTGGAGGTGTACCTGTGGATGTATTTCAAGGCCTACCTTTAAACTCAGTGCCTCTTTGATTGACATCATGTGAAAATCAAAAGAAATTAGCCAAGACCAGAAACAAAATTGTAGACCTGCACCAGGCTGGGAAGACTGAATCTGCAATAGGTAAGCAGCTTGGTTTGAAGAAATTAACTGTGGGAGCAATTATTAGGAAATGGAAGACATACAAGACCACTGATAATCTCCCTTGATCTGGGGCTCCACGCAAGATCTCACCCCGTGGGGTCAAAATGATCACAAGAACGGTGAGCAAAAATCCCAGAACCACACGGGGGGACCTAGTGAATGACCTGCAGAGAACTGGGACCAAAATAACAAAGCCTACCATCAGTAACACACTACGCCGCCAGGGACTCAAATCCTGCAGTGCGAGACGTGTCCCCCTGCTTAAGACAGTACATGTCCAGGCCCGTCTGAAGTTTGCTAGAGTGCATTTGGATGATCCAGAAGAGGATTGGGAGAATGTCATATGGATAGATGAAATCAAAATAGAACATTTTGGTAAAAACTCAACTCGTTGTGTTTGGAGGACAAAGAATGGTGAGTTGCATCCAAAGAACACCATACCTACTGTGAAGCATGGGGGTGGAAACATCATGCTTTGTTTTTCTGCAAAGGGACTAGGACGACTGATCCGTGTAAAGGAAAGAATGAATGGGGCCATGTATCGTGAGATTTTGAGTGAAAACCACCTTCCATCAGCAAGGGCATTAAAGATGAAACGTGGCTGGGTCTTTCAGCATGACAATGAACCCAAACACACCGCCCGGGCAACGAAGGAGTGGCTTCGTAAGAAGCATTTCAAGGTCCTGGAGTGGCCTAGCCAGTCTCCAGATCTCAACCCCATAGAAAATCTTTGGAGGGAGTTGAAAGTCTGTGTTGCCCAGCGACAGCCCCAAAACATCACTGCTCTAGAGGAGATCTGCATGGAGGAATGGGCCAAAATACCAGCAACAGTGTGTGAAAACCTTGTGAAGACTTACAGAAAACGTTTGACCTGTGTCATTGCCAACAAAGGGTATATAACAAAGTATTGAGAAACGTTTGTTATTGACCAAATACTTATTTTCCACCATAATTTGCAAATAAATTCATAAAAAATCCTACAATGTGATTTTCTGGATTTTTCCCCCTCATTTTGTCTGTCATAGTTGACGTGTACCTATGAATAATATTACAGGCCTCTCTCATCTTTTTAAGTGGGAGAACATGCACAATTGGTGGCTGACTAAATACTTTTTTTCCCCACTGTATATCGACATAACCTGAAAGGCCGCTCAGCAAGGAAGAAGCCACTGCTCCAGATCCACCATAAAAAAGCCAGACTACGGTTTGCAACTGCACATGGGGACAAAGATCTTACTTTTTTGAGAAATGTCCTCTGGTCTGAGGAAACAAAAATAGAACTGTTTGGCCATAATGACCATCGTTATGTTTGGAGGAAAAAGGGGGGACTTGCAAGCCGAAGCACACCATCCCAACCGTGAAGCACGGGGGTGGCAGCATCATGCTGTGGGGGTGCTTTGCTGCAGGAGGGACTGGTGCACTTCACAAAATAGATGGCTTCATGAGGAAGGAAAATTATGTGGATGTATTGAAGCAAGACATCAGTCAGGAAGTTAAAGCTTGGTCGCAAATGGGTCTTCCAAGTGGACAATGACCCCAAGCATACTTCCAAAGTTGAGGCAAAATGGCTTAAGGACAACAAAGTCAAGGTATTGGAGTGGCCATCACAAAGCCCTGACCTCAATCCTATAGAAAATGTGTGGGCAGAACTGAAAAGGCGTGTGCGAGCAAGGAGGCCTACAAACCTGACTCAGTTACACCAGCTCTGTCAGGAGGAATGGGCCAAAATTCACCCAACTTATTGTGGGAAACTTGTGCAAGTTAAACAATTTAAAGGCAATGCTACCAAATACTAATTGAGTGTATGTAAACTTCTGACCCACTGGGAATGTGATGAAAGAAATAAAAGTTTAAATAAATCATTCTCTCTACTATTATTCTGACATTTCACATTCTTAAAATAAAGTTGGGATCCTAACTGACCTAAGACAGGGAGTTTTTACTAGGATTAAATGTCAGGAATTGTGAAAAACTGAGTTTAAATGTATTTGGCTAAGGTGTATGTAAACTTCCGACTTCAACTGTATCTGTCTGATTCAAATTTTGTTTTAGCTATGGGAAATGGGCAGCTACATACAATACATTGCAATACCAATCATAACAGCCATTGAAGTTTAGTGGTAATTACATGATAAACATGACACTACTGTTGTAATGTGTACTGTATGTTCATCATACCATGGAAAAGTGCTCCAATGTATCAAATACTGTACGGATTTCTCTCCCTTCTCTCCGCTTTCCCCAGTCACCAGGTCCCCAGTATGTGAACTATGGATTTCAAGAGGGGGAGGGAACTGAGGGAAGACCCCCTGCATATGCCTCCGCCCCGCAGATGCCCAACGTCCCCCCCTCTATTTACCCTCAGTACACCCCCCAGTACAACCCCCAGTACACCCCTCAGACCATCAAGACCCACAACACGGTCACCCCTGGACTACCACACCTTGTCCCAGTACGAAAAGGTACAGTATTTACCCTTCTACTGATATTCCTCAGTTGATAAACAATGTCAATATATCTGCAGTATACTTTTCATACACCGTCATTTTTTGCCTTCTATTGTTTATTATAAAACGTTGTCTGAGCAGCTTTGAGGTGTCCCATTTGGTCTTCACGTCTGTTTTGCCATGGGATGTCTTGTCTTAATCTCTGTTTTGTCATAGGCTATTATAAGGTTTACAGTGGCTTCAGAAAGTATTCACACCCCTTGACTTTTTCCACATTTTGTTGTGCTACAGCCTGAATTTAATAAAATGAGATTTTGTATCACTGGCCTACACACAATACCCCATAAAGTGGAATTATGTTTTTAGAAATGTTTACAAATTAATCAAAAATTAAAAGCTGAAATGTCTTGAGTCAAAACGTATTCAACCCCTTTTGTTATGGCAAGCCTAAATAAGTTCAAATCAAATCAGGAGTAAACATTTACTTAACAAGTCACATAATAAGTTGCATGGACTTTTGAATGACGACCTCATCTCTGTACCCCACACATACAATTATCTGTACACTCTTAGAAAAAAAGGTGCTATCTAAAACCAATAAGGGTTCTACGGCTGTCCCCATAGGATAACCCTTTGAAGAACCATTTTTGGTTACAGGTAGAACCATTTTGGTTCAAAGTAGATCTATTTTGGTTTCCATGTAGAACCCATTACACAGAGGGTTCTACATAGAACCCAAAAGAGTTCTACCTGGAACCTAAAAGAGTTCTAACTGGAACCAAAAATGGTTATCCTATGGGGACAGCCAAATAACCCTTTTGGAACCCTTTTTTCTAAGAGTGTATGGTCCGTCAGTCGAGCAGTGAATTTCAAACACAGATTCAACCACAAAGACCATCAAGGTTTTCCAATGCCTTGCGAAGAAGGGCACCTGTTGGTAGATGGGTACAAATATCCCTTTGAGCATTGTGAAGTTATTAATTACACTTTGGATGGCGTATCAGTCACTACAAAGATACAGGCATCCTTCCTAACTCAGTTGCCGGAGAGGAAGGAAACCGCTCAGGGCTTTCACCATGAGTTTAATGGCTGTGATAGGAGAAACCTAAGGATGGATCAACAACATTGTAGTTACTCAACAATACTAACCTAAATGACAGAGTGAAAAGATGGAAGCCTGTACAGAAGAAAAATATTCCCAAAACATGGATCCTGTTTGAAATAAGACACTAAAGTAAATCTGCAAAATATGTGCAAAGAAATTAACTTTATGTCCTAAATACAAAGAGTTATGTTTGGGGCAAATCCAACACAACACATTACTGAGTACAACTCTTCATATAGTTAAGCATTGTTTAGGGTATGCTTGTCATCGGCAATGACTAGGGAGTTTTTTTTAGGATAAAAAGAAACGGAATAGTGCTAAGCACCGCAAAATCCTAGAGAAAAACCTAGTTCAGTCAGCTTTCCAACAGACACTGGGAGACAAATTCACCTTTCAGCAGGACAATAACCTAAAACACAAATTGCTTACCAAGATGACATTGAATGTTCTTGAGTGGCCTAGTTACAGTTTTGACTTAAATCGGCTTGAAAATCTATGTCAAGACTTGAAAATGCCAGTCTAGCCATGATCAATAACCAACTTGACAGAGCTTGAAGAATTTTTTTAATAATAATGTGCAAATATTGTACAATCCAGGTGTGCAAAGCTCTAAGAGCAGTGTTTCCCAAACTCGGTCCTCGGGACCCCAAGGGGTGCACATTTTGTTTTTTCCCGTAACACTACACAGCTGACTCAAATTATCAAAACTTGATGTTTAGTTGATTATTTGAATCAGCTGTGTAGTGCTAGGGCAAAAACCAAAATGTGCACACCTTGGGGTCCCGAGGACCGAGTTTGGGAAACCCTGTCTTTGTGTCACGCCCTGGCTCTGGGGACTCTTATATGTTGAGCCAGGGTGTTAGTTTCTATGTTTTGTGTTCTATGTTCATGTTCTAGTTCATTTGTTTCTATGTTGGCCGGGGTGGTTCCCAATCAAAGGCAGCTGTGGCTTGTTGTCTCTGATTGGGAACCATACTTAGGCAGGCTGTTTTGCACTTGTCATTTGTGGGATCTTGTTCCGGTGAGGTTTGTGTTTGTTAACCTTAGGACTTCACGTATCGTTTTGTTGTTTTGTAAATTGTTGTTTAAAGTACTCATTAAAAGATGTACGCATATCACGCTGCGCCTTGGTCCGTTGCTTACGACGATCGTGACACTTTGAGACTTACCGGGAAAGACTCACAGCTGTAATCGCTGCCAAAGTTGATTATAATATGTATTGACTAAGGGGTGTGAATACTCATGTAATTGATATATTTTTGTATTTCATTTTCAATAAATTTGCAAAAATGTCTAAAAACATGTTTTCACTTTGTCATTATGGGGTATTGTGTGTATATGGGTGAGAAAAAACAACAATTTAATCAATTTGGAATTCAGGCTGTAACACAACAAAATGTGGAAAAAGTCAAGGGTTATGAATACTTTCTGAAGGTACTGTATAGCGTGTTAAGTAGCACTGTTTTCACTTAGTAGCAGTCAACATCTGATGCTACACTTAAATGCAAAACAAGCCTTTCCATGGTTTCAGGGTGATAAACAAGGAACCAATGGTCAAATGATATGTAAATATTTTGGTCTAGGGTTGAGAGTTCTACGTTAAAAAGTAGAACAAGAGAGCCTCTTATTGTTCGTATTTTTAGTGTATTTTAAGTTTTGTTTCTTATCTCTTTCAGTGGTGAAGAAAAGTCCCTGTAAATGTATTGTGGCCTTAATCCTCAGTGTCTTAGTTCTCCTTGGGGCAGCCGGCGCGTTGGTTTGGTATTTCTGTACGTACATTACACAGTCTCCTCTCATACAGTATCAGTATCTCCATTGATGCTCTTGACATAAGCTGACATAATATTAATAATGTTGCCATTATTTAAATGCTTTCTATGAAAGACTAGTTGACATAAGCAAATTCAGCTTGCGAATTCATCTTGCTATCCAAAGACGCGTTTGCCTATGTAGTTTATAGGTGTATCTGGAAGCAAAGGAAAATGACCATGTAGTTCTTATTCAATCATTGAAAAGGCCAAGAAGAGTAAGCTTATAGTCATGGTCAGAGCTGTGATGCCCTGTCTTGTGTGTGTGTGTGTGTCCACAGTGTCCTACCAGTGTGTGTTGGGGAGGTCCTGTAGCGAGGGAGGTGTGTGTCTGAGTGCCTCTCAGTGGTGTGATGGCATCAGAGACTGTCCAGGAGGAGAGGATGAGTCACAGTGCCGTATGTGTCCACTTAATCATGTTTATCATTACACTTAGAGTATGCTGTTGACCAATGCTGTGTTCAGGAACACACTGTTAAAATAAATGTAGATATGGGGGTTGTTCACACTTTGCTACAGTATGGTTAATTATATGATTTTTGTTTTCATGCTTTTCTCCCTGAATTGAACGCTGTTCTAACATCAATCTCTACTTTCCAGTACGCCTCCATGGGTCTGGTTCTGTGCTGCAGAGTTACTCGTCAGACAGTCAGACGTGGAAGCCAGTGTGTGCTGATGACTGGAATGACAACATTGGCAGGGCCACCTGTCAGCAGATTGGATACAGCAGGTGGGTCACCAGGAGAAATAGGATCACATACTGTACATGTCATAGAGTATCAACTGTGATCACTTTCACTTATATATTCTGTGCTGTACATTATGTACATAACATAAGTGATATTTGAGGGGCTGACCATACCTATCTCTTTTTCCAAGTGGGTCCTATGTTCGGTTCTCACAAAGAAACCCAGGCTCCTTGGCCTTTGAGGGCTATATGAAGCTGTCTGGCTTTGACCCTCATTCCCTTCTACAGGGGCAGCTAACCAGCAGGTGACGAGAACATTCAATCCAACCTTTTTTTACTGAGTAAATATACCAACATTTAAAAATACAGAATATACCTTTTCTGAGTTGTGGGGAATAAATCAAAAATGTACTTCATGTATGGAATTGCTTTTTTTTTTAATGTACAGAATTGCTTCCGTAAACATTTATATGACTCTCATGGTGTAATTTCCTCCTGCAGTCCCTACTGCTCAGCACAAGCAGTCTCCCTGCAGTGTATTGGTAAGTCATTACTTTATCCTAACACTGATTATATGCACAGACACAGCTGACCTTCAGGTTAGGACAGAGCTTATAGAAACACAGTCAGGAATGGGAACTCAACAGAAGGAGTTATTGACAGGAGATTGACAACCTTGACATTTAGATGATCTGTGATATATGTAACTGGTTTACTACTCTGGTCTATGTCTTGACCAGGGACTTTGGGTTGGCTATGGAAACATGAAGATGCTCTAGTACCAAACTAGAGAACCAAACTGAAGTAAAAACACTTTAACCCTAAAAGTACCAACTGGGGGCAATTTGACCCCCTCAACAAAATATGAAATATCACATTTACATAAGTATTCAGACCCTTTACTCAGTACTTTGTTGAAGCACCTTTGGCAGCGATTACTGCCTCGAGTCTTCTTGGGTATGACGCTACAAGCTTGGCACACCTGTATTTGGGGAGTTTCTCCCATTCTTCTCTGCAGATCCTCTCAAGCTCTGTCAGGTTGGATGGGGAGCGTTGCTACACAGCTATTTTCAGGTCTCTCCAGAGAAGTTCAATCGGGTTCAAGTCCGGACTCTGGCTGGGCCACTCAAGGACATTCAGAGACTTGTCCCGAAGCCACTCCTGCGTTGTCTTGGCTGTGTGCTTAGGGTCGTTGTCGTGTTGGAAGGTGTCCGTTCGCCCCAGTCTGAGGTCCTGAGCGCTCTGGAGCATGTTTTCATCAAGGATCTCTCTGTACTTTGCTCTGTTCATCTTTCCCTCGATCCTGACTAGACTCCCAGTCCCTGCCGCTGAAAAACATCCCCACAGCATGATGCTGCCACCACCATGCTTCACCGTAGGGATGGTGCCAGGTTTCCTCCAGACGTGATGCTTGGCATTCAGGCCAAAGAGTTCAATCTTGGTTTCATCAGACCAGAGAATCTTGTTTCTCATGGTCTGAGAGTCTTTAGGTGCCTTTTGGCAAACTCCATGTGGGCTGTCATGTGCCTTTTACTGAGGAGTGGCTTCCATCTGGCCACTCTACCATTAAGGTCTGATTGGTGGAGTACTGCACAGATGGTTGTCCTTCTGGAAGGTTCTCCCATCTCCACAGAGGAACTCTGGAGCTCTGTCAGAGTGACCATCGGGTTCTTGGTCACCTCCCTGACCAAGGCCCTTCTCCCCCGATTGCTCAGTTTGGCCGGGCGGCAAGCTCTAGGAAGAGTCTTCGTGGTTCTGAACTTCTTCCATTTAAGAATAATGGAGGCCACTGTGTTTTTGGGGACCTTCAATGCTGCAGAAATGTTTTGGTACCCTTCCCCAGATCTGTGCCTCGACACAATCCTGTCTCGGAGCTCTACGGACAATTCCTTCGACCTCCTTCGGCTTGGTTTTTGCGCTGACATGCACTGTCAACTGTGGGACCTTACATAGGCAGGTGTGTGCCTTTCCAAATCATGTCCAATCAATTGAATTTACCACCGGTGGACTTCAATCAAGTTGTAGAAACATCTCAAGGATGATCAGTGGAAACAGGATGGACCAGAGCTCAATTTCGAGTCTCATTGCAAAAGGTCTGAAAAAAAATCTAAAAACCTGTTTTCATTTTGTCATGATAGGGTATTGTGTGTAGATTGATGAGGAAAGAAATTGAATTGAATCAATTGTAGAATAAGGCTGTAATGTAACAAAATGTGGAGTCAAGGGGTCTGAATACTTTCCGAAGGCACTGTATGTAGCCTGTCTACCCATCCACATCGCGCCGGCCAAAACGACACGCCCACTAGCGTTTCTTCTTCATGATGACTCTGGATTTGCGTTTCTTCCCTGACATCTTATAGAATGCAAACACATTCTGACCATTCTGGTTGGACCAGAGCCAGGGCCAGAGCTATCATTGGCTTTGATACTGTAATTGGTTAGAGACGATCTAGTCGCTGATTGATTTGTTTTGTACAACGCCCCTCATTTTGACGTGAGCACAAACTTCTAGGATTGAAGCAACAATAACAAAAAAAAAAGCAATTGGAACTGAGTTGATAGCCCATAGCATTCCAAAGTTCGAGTGAAATGTCTGAAATGTCATGTCGCCCATATCGGCGGCCATCTTAGGTCCTAAAGGTTTGTCATAGCTTAATCAACAATTTCTCAACCTCTAAGTATCACAGAAACATAACACTTTGAATGAATAACAGAAACATTTTCATGATAAATTGCTATGGATGAAATTGATCAAAACATGAAAAATATATAAAAACATCAATTTTTGTATTACTGCTTGACAGTCTCTTTGCAATCATTACCAATAAAAAAAAAATGACAGCAGTTGTCACTTTAGGGTTATAAATATGTTGGCGCTGTTAGGGTTAAAGCCTCTTTATCCATCAGAGAAGTGATCCCTGTTTTGTTAAGTTAAAACCAGACTGGCTACCCCTCTTTGCCCTACAGTATCTTGTGAAAGCCTGAAAGACTAGCTGAGATTTGGCTCTGGGTGCCCAGATTACTTTACAGTTAATCTTGGAAATGAGAAAGTTGGGTTGGATTCTGTGTGTTGTTGTCTTGCTTCCAGACTGTGGTGTGAGGGTCGCGGCCCCTAGGAGCCGTATTGTAGGAGGCGACTTAGCGGTGAGCGGGGCTTGGCCCTGGCAGGTCAGTCTGCACTCCAACTACCAGCACCAGTGTGGAGGCTCCATCATCAGCCCTGAGTGGATCGTCACTGCAGCCCACTGTGTAGAAACGTGGGTGTGACTCAATCTAACCTCATACCAAGGCTAATTTAATACTTACTACTAAAGACAGAGAGCTGGCTGGTGAACGAGACTAGACTAATTCATCTGTTCCTCTCAGAGGAGATTCCTCAAGGGAGGTATAGAAAGATTATACTCCTCAACATTTTAATGAATAAACATACAAAATAAAAACTATTTTAAAAAATCATCCTTGTAAATTAAACTAAACTACAGCATGATTTTGTGGTGGGAGCACTGCAACCATGAAACCAGCAGAGAGATAACCTCAGGACTTACTATTGTCTGTTTCCTCTGGGTCCTTCAATATGAATTCAATCACTTTCTGACTGCACCCCTTTTCATTTAAACAAAACCTTCCATACATGTTTGCCCATGGTAGAAGTGGTCAGAAAGTGACTTTTTGGACCGGAATGGCAAAAACATTCAGAAAATAGAGGTGGTCAAAGTGACCCATTTTTCAAAATCACTGAAAAAGATAAACGGTTGAGTTTGATGTCATTTGAAAGCTTACAAACAGGGTTGTCCAACTATTCTATGATGTCTTTTTAAAATAACATTAAAAAATTCTAACCTTTAACGTCAATTATTTAAAAACTTGTAAATTCTGATTTAAAAAATAAATAATTCACAAATGTTGTAGCTTAGACCCTATTTTACATAAACTGAGTTGTTTGTGTTGTGCCCGTCATCGGTTGAGACATAGCATACTCTTGAATACAGGGTGGGAGTTGAAGCTTTTTATAGATAATGTTAAAGATAAATATATATATATATATATATACATATATAAAATAAATTCTTCAATAAATCATAAAACAGTTTGACAACCCTGTTTGTAAGCTTTCAAATTGTATCATACCCAATCGTTAAAAAAATTATGTGATGAACACATGGATGTCTCATGGTAGGGTGGGGTATGCAAAATGGGTAAACTTTGAGCACCTCTATCTCCTGAATATTTCTGCATTCAGGTCCAAAAAGTCACTTTCTGATCACTTTTACCATTGGCAAAGGTTTCATTCAAACTAAAAGGAGTGCAGTCAGAAAATGATTGAAATCATATGGAACAACCCCTCTGTCATTGTGTATGGTAGGCTATCACGGCCCAGTCAGTGGACGGTGTATGCTGGCTATTTGACCCTGATACAGATGGCTTCTGGCACTGGCAATTCAGTGGGACGCATCATCTCTCACAAAAAATATGATAAGCAGACTAAGGATAATGACATCGCTCTTATGAAACTGAACACACCCCTCACTATGTCAGGTAAGTTACTGGTCTATTTCAAACATTTTAATGACAAATTACCTTGGGGTTTGGAAAAAGAACAGTATGATGTGAATTGTCACAAATGCATAGTAAAGTTGCATTCAACCTTTTCAATTTTGTGAAGGAACCCTAACATAGTTAATATTATTTATAATATATATTTTTTTAACGTGTCAATGTTTTGGAAGTCATATTGGAGTACAACACTCCAAGCCAGTCTTAAATGTTTTGGGTTGTAGATAAGGTGGGACCAGTGTGTCTGCCCAACGTCGGAGTGAATCTGACTCCCCAGCGAGAAGCCTGGATCTCTGGATGGGGATCCATTAGGAGCGGTGGTAAGACAACTTTTATTACAGGACCAATGACTGTCATTATTAAACACAGGTCATCAGAATAAAATCTATTTGTTGTATTAAATCTTTATGATTGACAATAATTTTGATGACTCCAGGGCCGGTGTCAGAAAACCTGCATCAGGCCCAGATCACCATGTACAGCAGACAGACATGTAACGCACCGTTGGTGTACAATGGACTTGTCACCGCCTCTATGATCTGTGCTGGGACACTGGCAGGAGGAGTGGACTCATGTCAGGTCAGATTCACACATAAAACCACATACTGTACATGTGCGGCACATACTGTAGGCTATCTAATCTTTTTAAATAGATATTTATGGGAAGTTCTTTTTACATCCTACTTGATGCTACATGTATTCTTTCTTATTTGATCTCATCTTATGATTTGTTGTTTTCTTATTGTGTTATGATAGAGCGGATCTTGGTATAGTGAAGAAATAAACATGCTCTGGAAGGTATAAAGTTATGATCCCATGAGGTAATGCTAACTTAGGGGTTCACTTTTGTGTCTTGCAGGGGGACAGTGGAGGACCCATGGTGGCCAAGGAGGGTTCATTATGGTGGCTGGTAGGGGACACTAGCTGGGGTATAGGTTGTGCTCTGAATAACAAGCCAGGAATCTACGCCAATGTCTCCCACTTCCTCCCCTGGATATATGAACAAATGCAGGTAAGTACTAACAGTAGGACAAATGATAACAGAAATTGATTTATTGTAAGATAAGAAAAGATAGCATTTTATTGTCTCTTTTCACATTCATCTGTTTTGCGTAACTCTATACAGGACATAATACATAAATAAATGTAGAAGGCAAGGGACTATGCAAATTATATACAAAAATAAACATTAACAAATGATAAACCATGGAGTCACCAATCAGTGAAGTATGTATGTGGATCCAATAAAACATTATTACCTTTTAACATATTTTATCCATATTGAATTTCCTTGCAGAGAAATTGACGGAGATACCAATGATGACGGCCCCTTTCGCTAATCAAATTCACCTGTCTGAAATGTGGCTTCTGAATACATTACACGTACACTGCTTTCAGAGAAGATTTTTGGTGCTTGTTGACTTGAATATTTAGGTTCTCAGGGAATGTCCATTTGCCATTTTTTTATTAATACATTGTTATATATATTTTTATCATGGTGAGGGAAGGTATGCAGGAATTGTCATTTTGACAGGGAGTCTAAGTGTAAGTAACACTTTATTTGGATAGTCCATCTGTAGATGCTCCACAAACTATCTACTAACTCTAACCCTTATCCTAACCGTAAACCTAACACTAACCCTTATTCTAAACCTAACCCTAACTGTAACCTTAGCAAGCACTTGTTTATCAACAGATAGTTTGTTGACAGTATGACCATCTGTAGAGCATCTACAGATGTACTATCCGGACTATACAAATAAAGTGTGACCATCCCGTACACTCTGCATTCTTGTACACACATAAATCAATGTTTTGGTCATATACTTTTTTGTTTTACATGATCGCAGCCTTTTCTCATTTTTATGAACCTGGGTATGAGAATATAAAGTATTTATTTACAAAAAAAATAGATTTCTTTTTTTGCAGTGTTTTGTTGGGTGTGAGTCAGACACTGATACAGGTTTACACTTGCACATTCAATACAGCCAGCCCAGGTTAAAACAATGAATACATGTACAGTATGTTGTTATGATGGTATGCATAATGGATTTTGAATGGGAGCTACTTTGAGGGGGGTGCCATAAGCCAACAGGGCTCCATAGTTAATGTGTGATGAACTATGATGGAGGATCGTTCATGCTGATAACATGCATGCTTCAGACCTGGAAGTCTGTCCTTCCCTTTCTAAGATTAGTTGTTTTTGACAACCCCTCTCCACTCATAAGTTACAATGCAGTAGTGGCTGTGTTTGTTATTGTGTCACATGACTCTTATGAGGGTTAAATGAGATCTTTCATAACATGATAGTCATCATAGTAATACAACCACAGAGAATGGCAATTATCCTCCATTGCAGTTCACAGATGATACATGTGATTTCGAAAGAAAATGTCAAAATTTTTCTGAGTCTGACTGGCCTACCTTGTCACCCCAGATCAAACGCAGCGGAATGATCTTTCCTGATGACGTTCACGTCATAACAGTATAAAGTTACAATAAAGATGTCATAAACTGACAATCAGGACAATCCTTACCATTGTCAACCACAATATGCACCCCGCTGCCCATAGTGTGCAGGAAAAGAAAATAGGATAGTTCATGATAGTTCATTTTAATTATCGTTCATTTGCATGTAAATCAATAATAATCCACACTTCTTGTTTAAGTTAAGTCTTACACTGTATAAACTATTCATATACATATTATACACATTTTAAAAATGCTAGCAACTGTTTATATCTGTGATTAATAAGGGAGTGTCTGTTTTCTGTGAATTCATTTCCTGGAGCTGTTTCTGTATGGGACACAAAGACAGCAAGAAACTCAAACATGACTGCTTCCTTATGTGCTTATGTGCCAAGATGTAGACTAAGAGTGACTCAGCTTAGGTTTGTGATACCTCCCTCTCAGACCATTGTTTTGGAAGTGCTTTTATTTTCACCTGTTGAAGGGTAAAAGTCCTGAATGTGTCTTTTTGGAAAACATTTATTGAACATACAGCTGTAGCCAGCCTCTAACTCAGCGTTTCTCAAACTCGGTCCTGGAACCCCCCAAAAAATGATTAGTTGGTTATTTGAATCAGCTGTGTAATGCTAGGGGGCACCCCTTGGGGTCCCCAGGACCGAGTTTGGGAAACCCTCTTCTAGCTGTAATATTATACATTTTATTGGTATGTTTATCAATAGGACATAGTACACACACCAGGGATTGGACCGTACGGAGAGTGCTATGAGCAGGTCCCCCCTGTCCATGTAATCTTATTCATTATAATTAGGCAAAACTGATCCTAGAGCAGCACCTACGCTGAGATGGTTTATGAATACGGGCCCTGGAGGATTGGATAAAATAGCAATAGATATAGGCCTACATTACCTGATCTCACCTCAGGGTGGTGCTCCAACATCTACACTCAGAAACAACATTTTATTTTTGCAGTGCATACCACCTAGTCAACCCCCGAGCCATATATTGTGTTCTGTTGACTTAAATATTTATTTCTCTCTTTTTCCTCCGTCTCTCTTCTCTCCCCCTCCCCTCCTCTTTCTCTCTCCTCTCCCCTCTCTCCTCTCTACTTTGTCTCCTCTCCCCTCTCTCATCTCTACTTTCTCTCCTCCCCTCCTCTCTCTTCTTTCTCCCTCTCTCTACTTTCTATCCTCCCCTCCTCTCTCCTCTTCTTTCTCCCCTCTCCGCTCTCCCCATCAGCATGGCTGTCCAATCACAGCTCATTGAGGCTGGCTTGCTAATTGGAAGATGCTCAGTCACAGAGGCTGCATCTGCTACCTGTTTGTACCAATTAACAGACCCATGACACAGCACTGACACCTCTTCAATGGGTTAACAGATGCTGCAATTAGACACTAATTTGAATGGCCGCCTGTTTAGCATGAGGGCCCTCGTTGGCACTGCATCATCCCAGCCGGGGGACCACCGGCCCGGCTTTTATCTACAGTATGTGCTATTTTTGCTGCCTCTCTCTCTCTCTTTAACGAGCCGTGGGAAGGCAAGGAAGGGAAACCCTGGTGTGTTGACAAACAAACGCTCAGCAATGAGCTAAATGTGCCCTCTCCTTGTTCTGTGATAGTCACTGTCACTGAGTAAGAGGTGACTGGCAAGTTAGATAAGGGGTTGTATAGTTAGTTTGGATAGGTAGATAGAATCATGACTCTTAAATGTTTCAGTTCGCCGGTAGGGGGGTCCTGCGTGCTCTGGGCATTACTGACTCAAATGAACAAAATTAGTTGAAAGATTAGTTATTTTGACTGAACGAATTGAAAAATCTGAATCAGTAAAAAGAGCCGAACGTCTCATTACTACTGTATATACTATTTATCGTTTGTCTGTATACTCTGTTTATTGTGGCAGCACCATTCCACCAAGTCAAATTCCTGTACATGCGAATGAATTTGGCGAATAAAGGTGATTCTGAATCTGATTCTGATTTGGAAGGCAAGAAGGGATTCAGAACCCTTCTGAATCTGAATAAGCTTTTTAAATGTTATCTGTCTTTCTTTTAAATAGTGCTTGAGCATTAGTGTTTACCTCAGTATCTTTTTAACTTTAACATCAGGAGTTTGAGTAATCTGATACGTTTAAAAATGAGAATGTTTTAAGCTGTACCTACAGTATATGGAAATATTTGTATTTTCTGTGATTTGATTGAGCAGAGAGTAGGAGAATAGAAGGTATGGGTGAATCAGAAGCATATTGTATTTTCTGGTGTTGATTAAATTAACTTAACACTTAGTTGTGTAAAATAACCCTAGTGTTGGTGTTAATAACAGAGTTGATTGTGATTGTGTCATTTTTACTATGTGTAGACTAAAACACTCAATCAAAGTCATTATCATATTTCCCAGCATGCTCTATTGCAGGTTGATTTCAGAATGGTTTGTTTTAATATCTGTGTTTTGCATGTACCATGATTGGTTGATTCATCTTTTGCTACACAAAGATAAATAAATAAATGTTTCTAAACAAATCCAATATGTTTTTTTTTTTTGTTTTTTTTCTTTCTTTGGGGGTAGATCAGCTTAATATTGCAGATAGATTGTAACTTCCATCAATGTAATTGTCTGCATCACTTCCAATCCCCCATGTTTTTTATATATATACTACCCTTTATCACTTTTCAACCCCGCCATCCTTTCCCTACTTGGGGTAAATTAGTGAACAACAATGCCCAGGCCTCTACTTCCGGCCTATACTTACTATCTACACCTTATGGACACAGTCAATTTTACAATAATTATATTTTATTTTGTTTTTGCTCCTGAACTTCTTCTACTCTCAACCTCTCCGATCATTTTCATGATGTCCATCCAGTTTGCTTCTATATGCCATATCTTTTTAACTGTGCTCTTTCCCAAAAGCTCCCAACATACAACCTATATACTTATTATGGACACAGTGTGCTTGTTATCTTGTTATTATTTGTTGTTATTTGCTATTAGTCCCATCCTTCAACTCCATTCAACACCTCCCATCTATCTCTTAACACCATCCATATAGGATTTCTATTTGCCATATATATTTCAACCGTACTGTGATGTTTTACAAAAGTTCTGAACCTTTCTATTCTCATTGCTTCTACAGATTGTGAATTGAAAATAAACATTTTTGCTAAAAGTATTATTATATTATTGATTGATTGACTATGACTTTTCAGATCACCCAGTAATGCTATCTGCAAGGTTAGCTCCAGGTAAATATTGCAATCCTTTAGCCATTCCTGGACCTGTGTCCAAAAACAAGCTACAAATGGACAGAACCAAAACAAATGATCTAATGATTCTGTCTCTTCACAGCAAAATCTGCAGAGCTGGGAAGATTGTATCCCCCATATAAATAACGTTCTATTGGTAGCAAGAATTTCATATAATAATTTAAATTGAAAGATTCTAATTTTTGAATCCGGTGTCGTTTTGCGTGTCAGTTCATAAACACTATGCCATGGGATCGGTACGTCAAAAATCTCTTCCCAACTATTTTGCAATCTATATGTGACGGCTG